CCAGCCAGCACATTGTGGGCAATTTATTTTTCTCCTCCATCCTCTGCTCCTAGGGAAGAGATCGGGCTCTCCACTGAATGGAATTTACATCTTTGTTCATCACAGTACTAACAATTATGAGGCTCTTTTTGATCCTGCAGTCCACATTTTCCCCCCTTGTTTTCAGACCTATATGCTGGGAGCTGCCTGCTGAGTGCACGGTTGTGCCGAGATCCCACTTGCCTAAGAATTGCAGCAGCCTGTAGATGCCCTGGCCATGGAAGCTCCCAGCTCAAACACCTCAGCTCTGTTTTAATAGCAGTGTTTACAGCCATTGCCTACCATCATTTTACTATCTGCACAGCTGCAGCCTTCTTTTAATTTAGGCTAAGCATGCAGTTTCTTAAAAATAAGACCAAGCATAGTTTTCAAGAACTTCTAGGGATGCTCCAAAGATCTTCCAAGGATACTCTAAATCCCAGTCAGCTAGCAGGCAGATACTGAACTGTTGTGAATGCTGGTGATACTGAAGTCTATTCGCAATTTTAATTAAATACTCTTATGTTCTTCATAAATCCCAAGGGCTGTCACTCCAGAGAGAATTTTTTTTAATTCTGCTCTGCTCCAGGGGACTTGAAATTTTCCCTCAAAGAGGCACCACGACCTCATTGTCAAACGTCCAGTTACTCAGAGCCTCACCTGCCCAAAAATCTGCTCTGTTCAAAGCTGGGCTTTTTGAAACAGAGGTGTACAATGTGCCCTGGGCATCTTTGAACAGAAAAATGCCTCTGGCATTTCTGTTCTGGAGGGAAAAGCCAGACACAGCTCAGCAGAGACTATAAACCAAGAAGAGTCCCAATAGCCAGCTCATGGGGCACAGTTGTTAGTTATAAGGAGAGAGAACAGGGTGATGAGTCCACAAAGCCTATAAAATTCAGTTTTATTTGAAAGTGCTCAATCCTTGCCACTGTACAGAATGAGCTGAAAATGCAAGACAATGTGAAAGAATAGCCAGAAGTTTGTCACTGTTATTATCTCTAAAATGTACGCATTACTTATAAAACTAACCAGAAACGGCCTTTGGAGTTCCTAAATGTTATAAACACAGGTCTGTCTAACCTTAAGGGGAAAGTGTGTAATTAAAAATTCCTTTTTAGTTCAAGGGTCAGTGTGAGATGGCTTAAGGGGTCTATTTTCTGCTTGGACACCTTCAGCTCAGGGGAATGCCTAAACGGAAACCAAATATGGTCTCCCACCTCAGGGGTTATATCTTAGCAATACGGAAGGTAACCTCACCTAGTCAACCACATACCACTTAAGAAAGGTTAACACCAGCTCTCCTGAACACTTCCCACAAGGCACAGAGGAAAATGAGGACTTCTCCCACGTGATGTTGCACAGATTGACTGCATGAACACAGCAGAATTCAGTGCACTTCTTCCCTGGAGAATTTGAGACCATAAAAATGATGCCCATGAAGCTCTCCAAAATCAACACACAACATTCCTTGGAACTTGCATTCATCCTCTTTATACTTCAACAAAAACTTCCAGAAACCAGCTACACTTGTGAGAAAGGCTCACACTGTCAACCCCAGGATACAGAGGTCCCCACTTGGCTTCGTGGGGTCTTTGCCACTGCAGAGACATCTACACCTACCAGCACTGGAGAGCAGGGACTGAAGGGCCTTTTCTGGTAGTAGCATTTGCTACAGCATTCCCCAGAACTGCTGCCAGAGATTTTGCCAGCACAGCCATGCCACCCAAGAAAAAGTATGACTTTCCAGCTAACACGGCCATGCCAGCAAAACATTACAGCATAAACTGAGTAAAAAGGAAAAGTAAAAATTGGAGTCATTTCTCCTCAAAGGAGAATGGGAAGAGCGATCTTTACTGATGGGTTAGCAAAATAAGAAGCAGCTCATTTCACAACTGGAAATACACATCTCCTCCCCTAGAAAGTAAAAGATGTCAAAACAACAACAACAAAAAATCCTATATGGCTATCATAAATAACACCCCATCTCCATTTATTTTCCTCCCACTGCAAAGTGTGGCTTGTGAGATGGTATTTCTTGACCTCCCAAGAGTAAGAAAAGCTCTCTCCATTAACCTCTTCAAATAAGTCACTAGAAAAACAGAAGTGTGAATCCCCACATACTGTGTTGCAGGTAACATGCACAGCACAGAGCAGCTGCCAGGCACAGGCTGGAGAGCTTTTGCCTCTCCCACTGAGGCTTTCTTCCAAAGTGCTTATAGAAAAAGGTTATGTCGGGAAGCAGGAGAAAAGTGCAGGCTCAGGACCTCCTGCACCAACTTAATGCCACATCAGAAGTGGGTACAAAGACACCACCTCTCAGCAGCACCACCAACAGATGTTGAAGAAAAAGCAACAAATCTTGCTCAAGATGCACCAGCCAGCAAAAGGGTATTGTGTCACTGGCCACTGGAACATAAATCCTCCTTTAAAGCTTGCAAATATCCCTTGCAGCACCGGCCTTCTCGGGTTTCTCTGGATGAAGCATTATTTCAGCTCTATGTTTAGCACTTGGAAGGAATCCAGGAAGACTTCCATAACCACCACTGATTTGTTAATCCCTTAATGCACAGGCACTGTTTGTTACTTAGGACGTCAGGTTTCATCGCTCCTCAGCACGCTGGTGATAGAACTTCTTGACACCAGGCTGCAAATATTATTGCAAAGTCAATACTCCCAGGGAGAAAGACAAGCTGAGTTAAAATGTGACTTTGGTGTTGACAAGCCAGTTTGGCATTGCAAAGTTCAAATGGCTGGGATCACCTGGCAACTTTCAAAACAGAAGGAAGTTTGCCAGGATCCTTTTTGACTGGAGTCTTATCCCAAGATCCGCATGGTAACAGCTAAACATTTTCCAATCAGACAAAGCAAGTAAGAATACAATAAGTGGATTATAATTTTTTGGGCAAGCGCTGGGAGCTACATGTACATATGCGTGTCAGTTTGTATCTATACAGATTTTCCTAATCTTTCTCATTGAAAGAGAAAAAAAATCCAAATCTGGGTATGTAGTATGACAGACTGGAGGTGATGCAGCTCAGTATTGCCAGGGAGTTCACCCAGGTTATGGTAGCTTCAACACTTCTGTTGCCCGAAGGAAAGCTGACTCTTGGCTCACAATAGATAGCATGATCTAAAATAGGTCGGATCCTGGTCTTTTTGGAGGGACATTAGGACATCACACACAGGCTGCACAGCAGGTCACAGCCAGGGTAGCATCAGTGCCTGCTGCTGCTGGGGAGGTGGCAGGCCTTCTCCAAAACACAGAGTTATTTTAAGGTCATTTCTCTCCCTCCTGAACTCAAACGTTTGTAGGACACAGTCTGAACGGTGATGACACCTGAGTGGAGGAAAAGGTACAGCCTTCACACCCAGGACAGCGCAGAGTTGAAGGGTTGATGCATTAGCCTGAAGCAGCCCCACACACCCCAAAGCTAACTGGGCTTCATCGTCCCGATGCAATAACCCCAGTCAACTATTCAGTCCCTATTTATTACCATCATTAATTACCAACCACTTTTTTTTGACCTGATAAAGCAGATCAGACAGAGCAATGTGCTCGGCTGTGGCAGGACAAAGCTAGGCCAAGGGCACATCAAGCCCATCCCCAAATCCATGCACATCCCAACTGCCCACACACAACCCATCTGCTTATCAATAGCTCCAATTAAACAGTCTCGGGTTTCGACCGCCACCAGACACCAGCTCACTCTCAGTTTGGGAGAAAGACAGAGGAAGTTAAAATTAAATTAGCAATTGATTAATACATGAAGCAACTCCAAAGCTGTTGAGTTGAGAACTCTTTTGGGGTTTAACCCTTTGGTGCCCTATGAGTTTCGTTTCATGGCTAGCAAAGTCAATGAGTACACTGGAAATATGGGAGAATCTTGAAAAAGGCTCACAATCAGATCAAATTCAGAAAAACTAAGGTTTGACAAAATTATTTTATTGAAATTTCAGTAAGCATAGAGTTCTTTATTATTTTTGTTTGTTTATTTTAAATGGGAATGTTTTAGAAATATGATCCTGGAGCAGTCTGTTTTCAGATTTGGTGAAAAGAACAGCACAATATAAATGGGCAAAAAGGTATTTAAATAATTTTAGAAGGCCTATTTTATTTCCAGTCCTTATAATTGGAAAGAATCTGGAACAAAATCACTGTGAAACTCGGTGCTTGAAGTAAGAAGCAAGGTATAGAAAAAAAGCCTTTAAAGTGCCAGGAGGGTAGAACATAACACAGTGGAAGGATGCAAAGAACAAGAAAAAAAGAGCAACTTTTCCAATGGTCTAAATAGACAGTGCTTCACTGAATGCAGCAAAGCTGCCCCTGTTTATACTAACTGCTGGGTTTTACAGGGGATCCAGAGGACATACCAGACAGAACAACTGCTTTCTTCCCACTGTTTGACATTGCTCTATAAAGACAGGTAAGCACCAGGAGTAATCAAAAGCCCGGTGGCACGTGGAGTAGACTTTGAAAGGGAGATGTAAGCAAAAAGTGCCACTTTAGAGAGGTCTGTTCAGATTCAAGTAAGATCTCAAATAAAAGCTGGGAGCCCATACAGCACAAAACTATTCCCAAGGCGGTCCTTTGAATACAGTCTCCTCTTTCAACAAGATAAAAGTCAATGTAGATGGGCAAGCAAGACAAAATCCTACAGCAAGGGCACAGGAAGCACTGGGCTCTCACAGCATCCCCAAGAGCAGCAGTGGATCAAGGAGCTCTGCAGGGAGGCATTAATGCATCTCTGAAACACACACGGACACTAACAGAGGATTCCATTTTTTTGTCCTACTTTTTTTTGGTTTTTAACAAAAGCAGACCAAATTCTATCTGTGGGGGCTAATATGAAAAGACCACTATGTTCTTCCTGGGTAGGATGTTTGCCAAAAGCCCTTGTGCATTCAAATGGGCAGTCAGACACAGCCATATGGAAACAGTAGAACCGAGCCACACTACCACCTATGAGGCAATAAAAACCTACCTGGGAAAGAAGCTTGTTGTCATCCTCCAGCAGTTTCACTTTTGTCTCAAGTTGCCTGATATAGTTGGAAGACGAATCTTTAGAAAAAGGAGAAAAAAACACATTTAAGCTTCTTGTGTTAGAGGAAAGCACTGTCAAACAGTAAAATGTTTTCCCACTCTGTGGAAGACAAGTTTGGGAAAGACCTAATGAATAAAACCCCATGTGTATAGGGTGAGGAAGGGAATGTACCAAAATGTTTTTTTTTTTTCACTAAAAAGCTGAGGTTCAGCAGTAGCAATATCTTCTGTGAATCCTTACTGGTGCCATCAGTTTTAAGAGTGGGGGGATACAGAAGGAAAGTGAAGTTGAACTACTGTGGCTTGTATTTTTATAAAAGTAATTTCCTGGGTTTGAAAGCAATTCTCATTCATCTAAAATGCACTAAAATACTCCACAACAGAACAAGATGTTTCCTTTTAGGCTTGAATAAACAACCCCTCCACACACGTGCCTTTTGCTTTCAAAAACAACTGAAAAACTCACAAAAGTAAGCTGTTGGCACAGCTCTATGAGATCATTGCCACAACTTCCAGTGCTGTAAAAAGGAAAGAAGTGTATTCAGCAAGGCCACAGAGCTGCAGCATGCACACAACAAGTACCTCCCCAGGACATCTGTTTTTTCTAGTGGAAGCACATGACACTAACCAGAAAAATACCAGGACAATAAAATACAGAATATCCTCACATAATATGGCAATATTCAACCTGAAGGAATTTAGTGGCCAGTTTACCATTGCAGTTAAGACAGCAACACCAGACAGGGTGGCCTAGCATAGAAGATAAGTTGCTGGAGAGCATTGTGGGTGGCTTACTGCTCTCCAAAGCATCTGGCTTTTGTTTAGAACTGTGCTTTGAAGCAACACATTTGCAAATTTCACAGGGGGGAAAATAAAAGGACCTCGGAAAACCTTTTCTCCATTTTCATTATAGCTTAGTGACTTCCTTCCATCCACTTGGAACTTTGCAAAATTTCTTCTCCATTTGTAATTTGGGTAGCAGAGGCCATGAGTTGTTACAGCAGGAGGAAAAGAGTTTTGCAACATAAGCATATAAGAAACCTCAAACATCTTCCACACTGCTAAAAGGGCTCTGAAAAGTGTAACTGAATTTTACCTCATTTCATTTATTATGGCATGACTGCAAAAGACACTATTCAACCCCAGGACTTCTTGCCAAGTGTGTATTGGTGAGGAACCAGGTGTTAACAAGGGCACCAATGCTGGTGGATGTGTGCTGCCCCTGGCCAGTGCCTTTCAGGATCAGCCCCACTCTGGTGAGCAGGCACCACTGGCTGCAGCTCTGCACACACCAACACAAACCCCTGCACACATGTGAGGTTTAGGCTGGCTCTGTGCTAAACAGCTTCTCTCTGCTTTTGCCAGTAGCTGCTGAACGCACTCAACACTAAGCCTGAATGCCTCTTTTTGGCCACCCTGGGGACAGTTCAGCAGAAGAGCTAGCATGCAAGCTGCAGCTAATCACTGAGAGTGCTTTGACCATTCAAGAGAAAAACTGGAATATGCTTGAAAAAGTGCTACCATAGACAAGTGCCAAACCACACATAAAGGAACAGCAGGAAGGATCCGAGTCAAGTGCCCGTCTAAAGCACAAACACTTTCAGAGGAAACATGCTCACTTTTTTGTCTGGATCATGCTTTGTCCAAACCCAGGAAATCCAAACAAGTCCTCATGAAAAAGGTCAAGAAGACACCATAGGAGGCTATGCCAGTTCAGTGAACAGCTTAAGTGGTTGTAAGGTTCACAGCAACATCGCCCTCAGCTGCAGGGACCACAAACTCTGCCCAACGACCACCCTAACACAGGGGGAGTCTCCAGGTCAGATAAGAGAGTAAACCAAATAGGTTATAGAATCAATCTATAGCTTATAGAATCAATCTACAGCACCTTCCCTGTGAAGGCCTCATGTCAACAGCACCACAAATTTAGCCATGCATAGCTAAAGGTGGCAAGTATAATCCTGCAGTAGTGCTGAAGTCAGCAAGATTTCAGCATCAGCTTGAACAACTTGCTGAATTAGTAATGAACCTGTCCCCCAGCAGGGTGTGAGGAGAGTTTGAGATTGTTAAATATAACGGAGGAGGACCATGGACCCTTTGGTCTGACCTCCTCTGTGCCCCAGGCCACCACACATGGTTAACTTACCCCTAAATTCAGTCCAATAATACCCATTTGGCTAAACAGTTCCAAAACCAGTCTCCATATCTGTTTGAAGACAGACAGAGACTCCACCACTTCCATTTGTGCGTTGGATACAACAGCTTCCATTGGTAGATCTGGTCAGATTAAGGTGTCCTTCCCATTTGCACTTCAGCTTCACTGATGCCCTCATAGTGCCAGGGCAGCAGTGGAGCTGAGCACCTCTACAAAGTGAATGCAGTAACCCTGATAATACAGCAGGTCCTGATTTTTATCTCAAAGTATCTGGGCATTCAAAGCAGCTTCAAGGAAGGATTCAAAGTGATGTCAAAGGTGAGGCTCAATCCACATCTGCCTGGGAATCAGAGCTATGCCTCTGGACCAAGCACAGTTTCTGAGTGCACAAATTGCACAGACAGCAACACTTGTATAAACAAGAGCAGAAATGCTCGATAATGCTAAAGAAGACCCCAATGTGATGCTGATGTGACGCTGATAACAGACAGAGGCTCCACAAGAACCACAGCACTGACTAAGCCTGTTAGCCCATTAGTAGTCCAAGCCTGTTTCCCAAGCACCAGGGAGCCTGCTATATGCAGTGGCCTCCCTCACCTTTGTACTCTCTTATCACTACTAAGTGTTTATAGTGTGGACTACCATACCACATTGTGTGCAAAGAACAGCAACCAAAAAAAAAGAAAAAAGCTTATGGGAATTATTTCTGATGCAAACAAGCCTTTTCTCACAGTTCTGAGCCCACGGAGGGCAGAGAGACTGGACGAGGTCCATTTCAGCAGCTCTGAATTCAAGCACTCAAGTGGGAAGTTACCCAAAGTGGAGGCTGGCAACCCAGACCTCGTGAGCGACCTCTTCAACATGTGCTTGTGGCAGGTTCCAGCACTGCTAATGGCTACAGGAAATTTAGGTTAAGCAGATGAATGGTGACACAGAAGCTGTTGTGTTCAGGCCCTGAATGTTGTCTTCAGGACTGACTGGCTGGTTGGTGGAAAGAATAGAGCAAGACTGACAAGGAAAAAGAAATGGAGAATTATCTTCGCATTGTGGTTTCATATTCCCTATCAAAAAAAAAGGGGACTCCTTGGGAAGGCAAGCCCTGCATCCCCAGTAGCCAATGCACACCACAACTACCCCTTGTCTTCAAAGCCTGCTCTGAGACCTGCTAGAAGCAGAATTCTCCAGACACCACTGTTCAACTCCAAACCATGTCTGATATCTGACCTTAGCCAGAAAACACCCTATGGCAACATAAAACATACATTAAAAAAAAAAAAAAAGAAAGAAAAAACAAATTAGCTGTTTAGTCAGCAGAAGATGCTCCATCTTGGGCAGAGGCTGAGAAACAGTGCTCAGAGCCATCACCATCCTTGTGGCCCTCAGAGATGAATCGCCTCCATCTTCTGGACCTGCCTGTGTGGAGGTAGGGGCCAGATGAGCCATTTGCATCTTGAGTTCAGGTTCAAAAAAAATCTCATAATTCTCACAGCAGCAGGCAGTAACACTGTAGGGTTGAGCAGCAAAACCCCAGGCTAGGTCTCTCCCACATTAGATCAAGAAACACATTCCCAACATTCTTCTGCCTCTGACCTTCCTCTTATCAGTGAATTTCCCTCCTCTCTTGCCTCCCCCAGAGCCAGGAGACAAGGACAGCCCCACTGACCCAGCCAGGAGAGGCAGCAGAGCTGGATCACTGACAGCTCAGACCCCCTCATCCCCTTCCATTAGAAATCAAAGGAATGGTCCTCACTGCCTTGTCAAAGCCTGCTGCCAGCTGTGAGGAATGCTCCACCTTCACCAACCCAAGTGCACTCTCCTCAGTGGCATGAGCAGCTGCCAGACCAGGGTACTGGGGCACATGCCCAGCACACCCACCCAGCCACCACCTCGTGGCACTGATTCCAAGCCCACTCACACCTGTTATTTCCTTGCTCGGGATCTCACCCTACCCTGGCCAGACAACCACAGCGGTCAGGTCTGTAGAAGTGTGGCACAGTGAGAGGAGGTACAGTATGAAAGAAGCAGACAAGTATGGTGGCCAAAGACACACGGTCAAGGACAAGCTTTCTGGGAGCATGCTCGGGCACTCAGTGCTGCCTGGGATGCCAGTAGGGGTGACATCCTCCTCTAGTTACCCCTTGGGGCCACAAGCACCAGCTGCATGAGCAATGGGTACCTTAGTGGATCAGAGGGCACCAGAGGAAAGGAATTTCCCACTCAGCACCCTCCCTGTGGCAGCCATCACACTTGGTGCAGAAGAGGAAGTCAGGGAGAGAGGCAGAGGCATGCCCTGCCAGGCTGCTACCTGCAACAGCAAAATGGATGAAAACTGTGACCATCAGCAGCCATCGCTCACTTCCACAATGTAAATGCTTCAAGCTAAATTGTTCACAGAGATGTAAAACCTGCAGCCCCATTTCTTTACTAAGCCTTTGGAAAACTAATTGGATGTAGTTTTATCTCCACAAGAGGTAGAAGAGTCACATTCCAGCCCAGGAAGGAGTATTACTGTTATTATCCACCCTCCTCAAGATTTACTGTTCTAAGAAACATACTCCATCTGGAATGGGATATAATTCAACTTGGATGTAATCTAGCTGAGTAACTTTTCTCTACATAGATAAACCACTTAATACTCATTACAGCTAAATGGAAGTAAGACAAATCACTCAACCTTGTTTTAACTCAACAGCCTCTGAAGAGAGCAGGGAACTGCCTGGTTCCTCAAGCTTTCTAAAAACATAAATTAGAAATTGTTTTAACAAACAAAACAATCTTTCAGCCTGCAGAGCACAAAACACTGTAATTTTAAAAGACACTTGGAGACACTGGAGCCTTTCTGATTCTCATCTGAGATTTCAGAGGAATCTGTCAGAGGGGTAAATATGATGAATTATACATTTATTTTGACAATAGGAAAAGAAATGGTTTTATTTCTTTTTATTTTCCACTTCTCCAAACCACAAGTATGCAGAGCAGAGGTTTGCATGGTAGCTACGTGGTTGGGATCAAGACACTTTCATTTAAGACCTTTTCATAATGAGGCATTAGCAGTTAAAAGAATATAAGAAAAACATGCAAACCCTTTACTTAGGGCAGTTCACAGCAGAGATGCCAGAAAAGGTTAACATAGGTGTCCATGAGACAAGGAAGCTGCTGAGAGCCCTTTGATGGGACTCACTCACAGCAGGACGGTCCCTGCTCCCAGCCTGGGCAGTACCAAACAACATGGCAAGAGCAGACTTGAAGCAACAGAGGTGCTTTAATCTTCTTCCACAGCACCCTGCCGAGGTTTTGATTTGGTCTTATTGATTTGCCTTTTTGCTACAGAGTGGGGGTTGTGCAGTGTCCAGCTGGAGTGCTGGCTGGCAGGCCAGGACCATGGTGCCCACTGACAGCACTGACCCCCCAGGCACCACAGAGGTGCCCCACATCCCCAGCAGCCTCGCTGCCTCCCACTGCATTTTCTTCCCAGGAGCTACTTTTACTAAGCATGATTTGAGACAGTAAAGCACAGCTATACCTTGTCAATGTCCTGCAAACATGACTCTTCCCGTCCTCATAAAAAGCAGCATCCCTAAAGGGATTCTCCCAAGCCAAGGAGGAAAGGCACAGGAAGCAGTGATGCCAGGTTTGCACCTTGTGGCCAGCTGCCTTCTTTGCATGATGGGGTGCTGACATTTTTGCTTCCTCTCCTTCCATCAAAGATCATCTCACAGAAAGGCCTTCACCTGTGCTCAATAAAACACTTTGCTCTTTGTTGGCAGTTTCATTATCACATCTCTGCTCTTCACCACCATATTTCAGATTCGTAATGCTCTACTGGTCTTGCTTTTTGACACGGACAAGCAGGCTGAAAAATGAGCCAATGGTTACATCTTGTAAAGAAGTTGATTTATTAAGGCAACACCACTCTTTCAGAGCAGCTGGAAAGCAGATGGGACTCACATATCTTATTATGTCATCTTTAATGACATAATATTGTCATTAAAGGAAATTATTGAGAGAGATGGACAAACCCACCACCATTGCTTTTTCCTAGCCAGCACCAATCTTTCTCCTCTTACCAGCAAACCCCATTCCTGATGTCCTGTTTCAGACTGGTATGTAAGGCAAGTTTTCACATCAGGCTTAGCTCAGTGGATGGTTCAAATGTGAGCAGGGACACCTTAAATCCAAGGCTGAGTTACTTTAGTTTTGCAGGTGCTGCCCTCTGCTATGGTACCACCAGGGCTTTCAGGGTATGCTCCTTGGTTTGCCTTGGCATAGAAACACAGAATAGTTTGGGTTGGAAGGGACCTTTAACAGTCATATAGTCCAAGCCCCCTGCAATGAGTAGGGACATCTTCAAATAGATCAGGTTGCTCGGAGCCCAGTCCCTCCTATCCTTGAATGTTTCCAGGGTTATCTACCACCTCTTTGGGCAACCTGTTCCAGTGTTTCACCACTCTCACTGTAAAATCTTCTTTCCTTATATCTAACCTAAACCTAACCTCTGTCAGTTCAAAGACATTAATCTTTCTCCTACTACCACATGCCCTTGTAAAAAGTCCCTCTCCAGCTCTCTCATAACCTCCTTTAGGTACTGGAAAGCTGTTCTAAGGTCTCCTTGGAACCTTCTTTTCTCCAGGCTGAACACCCCAACTCTCTCAGCTTTTCCTCAGAGGGGAGGTGTGCCAGCCCTCCGATCATCTTCACATCTTCATTTTCATGATCATCAGGTCGAAAATACCATACACTGTTAACCCCAAGCCCCATGCCTCTCCAGTAACAGCTTGGGGACAATTTGGGTTCTCACTTGGGATGTGATAAGAGAATATGCACCAAGAAGGTCTGTGGCAAAGAGAAGGTCCCAGCATTTTGTAGCTTTACAAGATATTCTGCAAGCAAACCATACCAACCAACTTGTCCCACCACCTCATTCACTGTCAGTTCTGCTGGGAGCAGTTTCCTCTGCACTGTGCCAGCCAGTGCTAAAGAGGTGGCAGGAGGGCATTTGCAGAGAGCTAAGGCCAAATCTTGAATATTCCCACAGCTGAGGTGCTGCAGCACATTTACTGAACAGACACTGCCTTGGACTATGCTAAATAAATAAAAGGCCCATCTGTAGCGTC